CAGTAATAATCATTTTGTATAAATTTTATATATAATTTTATATGTTATTTGATGATTAATTTTTTATTTAATTTAAAATTTATAATATTGTATATCTTAAATTATTTAATGACATAAAAATTAAACAAAAAGATTACACAAAAAAATTATTTACTATATTATTACCATTAAACTAATGAAAAATTATATATATTTTTTAAAATTACAATCAAATCATATTATTTTTTTAAATCATATAATATTTCTTTTATTATTAGCTTTTCTTTCTTTAAAAATTATCCAGCTCAGCAAAGTCCCATGTGTAATTGCCACATCATCTAAAGTCGAAAAAAAATCCGTTAAGTTAACGGACACATCAGCACGTCATTAATGAAAGGGACAACTTTAGTGTAAAATTTATGAGTTGTCAGTTGAGGAGAAAAGAATTATAAAATTAAGTTGAAGTATGAAATCGATGCAAAATATTAAAGTTAAGGGATTTAAAAAAAAAAAAAAAGGCATTTAACCTAATTATTTTACCTTGTTGAAATATCAAACTTCAACATGGTAAACGGAGAGATTTCATGTGAGAATTGAAAAACATGTGTTGGAAAAGGTCAAAGTTTAGCAACACAGATTGAAGTCTGGGTTTTGGTGGCTTAGGGGAAGTTTCTGATATTTTTTTCTTGGATTTTTCTGTTTTAAAGATATAAGATAAAAATATAATAAATATATTTTTTTATAATTAATTTTTATTAAAATATAAATGTTAATTTTGATTTAATTAATTGATTAATTAAAATTATTTATGTGTCAGTTATGTTAAAATATATATTAATTTTCATAATTTTTAATATGAATTAATTATAAAAATATACATTTATTGCATGTTAGATAAACAATTTTTTCTTTTAATTTTATTTCTTAGTTATTAATAATCTAAATAACTCAGTAATGATATCTTTTTTTTGAAAACAAAAAAATTTTAAATTCAAATTGTATCCCATGCATATTGAGTAAAGAAAAGAATAATAAATAGTTATCTCTAATTATGCAACCAAAATTTAAAAAAAAAATCTTATTCATTGGTTTGATAAATGAGAAAGATAAAAGTATTTTTTAAGAGAATAATCCACTTATATATAAATTTTACATATTATATTTAGATAAAACCTTAACAATTCATTTTTTATTTTTAATTGTTAAGATTTATTCATATTTATTAAAAATAATTAATTTTTATTTTAAAATTTATGATAAATTTTAATTATTAAAAATAAAAAGATAAATAATTAAAATTTTATATAAGTATAATATGTAATATATATATATATGAATGGATTTTTTGTTTAAATACTCTAATTTCCTCTGCCCTTCGATTATAGCCAATTCACCTTCTACGCTCAATGCAAAATTGAGAATTCTCTTAAAAGTAAAAAAAAAAAAAACAATAATGTATCAACTAACCCTACAAACTCCAACAGTAGATTTCATTAAATGCATTAAACCAATGACCAATACAAGGAATGACGAAATGAAATAACTCTCTCTCCATATATATTGATTTGAAGATGTATTAATAAATTTTATTAAATGCATTGAACCAAAAGTTAACACAAGGAATGATAAAATATTAATGAAATAGCTCAAAATATATATAATCTGACCTTATTCGAAGGTATACTTGACGGTCTAAAAGAAGAAGCAAAAGAAGAAGATTGTTTTTTCTTCCTACTCGTGGATAGTTCATCTTTGACTTAAGAACCACTGGGTAATTAAATGTTGAAATATGAAGTTAATGTAATGTTGCAATTCAAATTGCACACGAAATTGAAGAAAAAAACATTGAATTTATTACACAACCATTAACATCATTCATATCTTTGCCCAACGAGGATGCCGTGTAATTTATTAAAAGCAAGACAAAACAATACAAAGTTTACATATAAAATATATGGAGAGTATTTTTAACTTGTATTTTAAGTGCATATGTTAATAATACATTTATTGTACTTTTTGTAATATAAAAAATTTGATATTTATTTTAATAAATGTCTAATGAAATTCATTGAAATGACAACAATGTTAAAATTAATGTCAATTTTTATTTTTTTACATAATTAATACCAAAAAATATAATAAATATATTTTTAAAAGTACAAGTTGAAAAAAAAAAACCATTTATGAGTCGACACCAAATGAAAATAAAAAATTTGATAATAATTACTATTATGATATGTATAGCATAAGGTTTTTTTAACCTATGTCTAAAGGTATATTAACTGTATTTTTTATTAATTGTTATAAACAAATAAAAGTTAATTTTAATTTTATTAATTTCTTAATTAAAATTATATATATGTCATTGATATTAAAAATAAAATTAACTTATATTTTTTTAATAAATTAATAAAATAATTTTTAATATACTCTTAATATATGCATTTAAGGAACATATTATACAAACCCTTGCACAACTATTCACCTCGGATTTTTACTCTTGACAAATATATATTGAAATGGGCTCACTAAAGTTTTAAATACTAGTAAAAATTTACAAAGACCAAATGAAAGTATAAGACACGTAAATTATTATGACTTAGTTGATAAAGAGATTTATTTTTTATTTTGTTGATTGACATTACATTTATTAGAGAGATTAATGAGAAAATAATTTTTTATAAATTTTCTAATCACAGCATAGATGACTTACATTTAACTATATTCAAAACAAATTAATCTTAAAATACACATAAACTAACTTAAAAATACCTTAATTGTTAAAAAATAAAAAATAAAATAGAAACACCAGCAAACAGAAGTTTGAGTTAGCATAATAATCCGGAGGAAAATTGTCAAAGCATGTGGGCATCAAAATTGAAAAGTTGCCAGCCAAGCCAGCTCCCTAGTAGCTAGGGAGTCAAGAGTCAAGTAACAACTGACTCTTCATTCCCCTCAATGGCCAAGGTTGCTTCACAAATCACAATTGTAATGCAATGGACCTGACTGAGTCTAACGACCGTGTACTTTTTACCCCTTAAAATGGAAAGATCCATCCAAGCCAAATTATTCTTCTTTTGGTTTTGGTTTTCGGCTTATTTTTTCACCATCACCCTTTTTCATCTATAATTTTTTCTGTGGTCCATGATGCATCCAATAAATTATACACCATTGGTTAACCTCAATTTTCTAATTTTCTACTAATTCTCTTTAGATTTCACTGATATCCAAATACTAATACTAATTCTTCTACTTTTTAAGTTCACGTGTGGCTTAGTTTCTTAAAAAAAATTATGCTTTAGAAGTTATAATTGGGTCAAATAGAGATTTTCTAAAAACTTCTAATTTTTCTATAAAATTTATTTTTATCTTTTAAAAGATTGGAGTTGAAGCAACAAACAAATTATTTAAAAATAA